TCTCGTTAAATTACTTATGTTTTTGGCTCCGAAGATTGTACAGGTGTCGTCAAGGCAATCAACTATGATGTTGAAACAGATTCTTTCGTTAGTTTTGTTAGCCCACTTCAAGAAGGAGTACCTTGTGAAACCTATTTCCAAACTGATTCCTTTGCAAAATTAAAACAGTGGTTCAACGACACCAAGAAAGCAAACCTGCTCAATGTACTTATGATCCAACCAATCACTCAAAATATTCAATTCAGTTCAGCTGAGATTTTGGCGGCATACGGTGTAGCCGATTCTTATACTTCAACTGACATTTTGAAACGTTGGTTATATATATATATCATAAATTTAAGCAACGAAATATTAGAATAATTGGGTTTAGCACGGGTATGTTTTGAAACGAATTGCCATCTACAGGTGCAGAAGTTCTTATTTGAGAGGCCTTAAAGGGAGCTTCTTCAGGTACTACCTCGGTTTTCCATGAATTTCTGCTTATACATATTCTACGAGGCCCTAGGAAAAGTTCTGTAGAAATTTATATGCACATTGAGATTTGTCTGAGCTGTGGAATGTTTAATATGCCAATTTTCTAGAGGTATTTGCAAGATTCCAGATTTTGGGAGAAATGGAGTCTGTGAAATTCAACTTAAAATTTTGAATATTTATAAACCTTAATTATACGAACTGTCATAAAAAATTCAGAGCTATTGAGTAAAGTACATTCAAGAGAAATAAGCTGCAAAAAATTTCCCACTCGATGTAGGACCGATTGGAAAGTGTCAATATCTTGAAACTGTCATACCTCGAAAAGAGTATGGTCAAAAGATTTGGATTTTCTTTATGAAAACTAATATAGTCAATGTGTATAAATGCGCAGAGTTTCAAATCAAAGTTCGAAGAGTCGGTCTTTTCGCACACCTGAAAAGTTTCAGGAGCGGCTAGAAAATAGGCATATTAAAAATTTGGCAGCTTAGCCATATTTCAATATGCATGCAAATACTTTTAGGACTTTACTATGGTACCATGTAGTATTTATGGAGAAATTTATTCAAATCGGAGCAAAGACGCAACTGGAGAGGTTCCTTCGTCGGCTTTTTCGAACATTTATACTAGAAAATGAACGGAGAAGGTCATCTAGCGAGATTCGAAATGTAATTTCTTTTCTTTGGAGCCACTTAATCAACGCTATGTGAACTATGTTGAAAAGAAACAAAATTTTGAAAAAAATGCAAAAACGAAGTATTGTGGTTTCTCATTTCTAATTTAAAAGTATATAAAATGAAATTCTTATCTCGTTGGTTGATTCCAAAATCTCTGAAGAATATTCAAAATATTTTTTCTAAAATGTTGCAGATCTTGGATGTTTATCTGCTTCAATACTCTGGCCACATTTTTGATAAAATAGTAAACTTGAAATTTTTTTTCTTCTATTCTAGATTGTGATGGCAAGTATCTTCGTTCTATGAAACTTCTATGAGGATTTTTTGCAACACTTCCGAACATTAACTTAACTAATGATGAGAAGTGTTTTCAAATTGATATATCAGATGAATGGAGTTGGTTCTTTCTACGACGAAAACAACTGTTACTCTTTCTTCAAGATGCTACTCATCCAGCCACGAAATGGCGAAATCGACTTCTATCGGATATCGCTGATCTTACCATCGGGAATAAACAAGCAAACATCTTTCATCTCGAAAACATTGTCAAAACTTATAATAGTAAATTTGATCATGCATTAGTTATGTCTGATTTAAATCCTTCTGATCGTCAAAACTACAGATCATGTGAAAAGATCAGTAGCGATGAAGTTTTAGCAATTTTAGAATCAGATGATGATACTTATGCTACATTTCTTTACATCAAATTACTTCGTTACATAATCGATGCATTTATAAACAAAGCTACTTCAATTAGAGATCGTCTCTATTTCGCTTGGACAATAGTCTTCGTCTGCCGTCTATGGAAAGCATGGTTGAATTTAGAATTCAAAACATCAACTCAGAGAAGTAGAGACAATTACTTCATCACAAAGCCTGCCTATTATTAAGTAGAAATCAATGCACATATTCTTCTTTATTTAATATTGTTAGTTCATGAAGGCAGTTTACCATCAGAATCATTACAAATTCCATTGTTTAGCAATTAGTCATGTGAAAGTATTTTTAGAAGTGCCAGATCCTTAACTGGAACACGATCAACAATGGTCAATTTCACTGTGAATGGTAACTTAACTTGTCTGAGAAAATACTATGAATGCGATCAAATAATATAAAGCTATCTGATTTTTGGAGTTTAGTTGGCGAAAACACTTGCATCGTGAGAAAAAGGCTTCCCTCATTTCTGATTGAATATTCAAAGTTCATTTTTAGGACTGTACATTTGACAAAAGATTAGAATAAAAAAAACAACGTTCTTGATTTAATTTCATTAAATTTTGAGGTACTAATTTATAACTGACTAAATTTATCATTGTTTGTATGGAATGAAGCTAAATATATCTTTTGAAGGTCGAGGGCAATACTTCAACGAATTTACTCATCAAGAGAGCACTTATAAAGTATTCACTCTAGAAAATGCCATGAGTACTCAATAGTGGTACTCTTGGTCAAACTCGGGTACTACCTCAGTACGGCATTTGAGTACTTACCATGTATTACTGGATGTTTCTTGAATACGCGTATGTAGCTTTTGTGTACTGTAATGGTGTATGGAAAATATTTATGAACCTAAATTTCGTTCATTCCTGTTGTATTGCATCAATTTTATTCCAATATAAATCTAATTGCAAAAAATGAAGACGTAAATAATAAATGTTTGAGAAAATAATTAATAGTAGGACCAAAGCTATCATACTATCTTCACATGTGTTTGAAGCAAATAATAGAGGTACAGAAATTCTTATCGTTTAAGAGCATGAAATATTTCCCTATAAAATAAAATTTTATTTGTTAGAAATGTCAAAAAAGGATAAATTGTCGAAAACAAGAAAATTAATTTTTAAGAAGATATATATAATTAACAATGAATTGTCCATCTGCACAATCAATCATTTCGTATTATTAGCAATCATATGTGTTCAACAATGCCATAGCTCTTTTACATGTTTTGATAAAAAATTTCTTTGTTTTCGATGGTTTCACCTTTTCGTTGATATTGAAAAACAATAGAACTTTATTTTTATGAACCAAAACAAAGAGAGCTAAAACTTTCTTTAACAAAGATAAAGATTTAATCTTCATCTCATAAAGGCAGAATACAATAAATGAAAAGAAAAATCAAAAATAAAATTATTCTCAGCAACACAGATCTTAAAGTGCAAATAAGTTTAGTGTCAATTATTACATAAAAATTTCAAGTGAAATTTTTTTTATTAACATTAATAGTAATCTCTAAATAATTTATGAAAAAGAGAAATAAATATTAAATTATCTATCTGCATCGCTATCTATGTGTCTTCAAGATTATAAATCAGAATCGACTTGTAACATGTGTTGTGAGTTCATTTTGTGTCATATTATTTTACAAATAGTTTAGAAAATTTTTTTTAATGAAAAGTTTTTTATATAAATTTAGAAAATTAAATTTGAATAGATCTCTATTAACCCATATAAACAGATATTTAAACCCACTTGACAATTTAAAAGTTTAAGATGAAAAGCTCTTTTACTTTGTTTTTCAAACAGCTACTATTCGACAAAGTCGTATAAATGATTTATCAGCAAGTAATAAAGGACAAAGTAAATAAGATGTTAAAATAGATTTTTTCAACTATCCGCTATATCATGTCTACTTTCCTTACTACATGACTTCAATCTATTTGTGTAAATGAAAATGCATAAATGTTTTCTTGAATATTCTACCAAACAACGAGCGCGAGTACTACAGTTGTGTATTCACATCACTGTCTAGGACTAAATCTGTACGGGAAAACTCATATGAGTATTAGTCAAAGTGCATGAAAAGTATTCATGCATATAAAAAATGTTGGATGACTTCAACTAGAAATTTGACTACTGATANGATCCAGTAACGCTCGGAACTCTTTTTTTCCTTCTTTTGCTAGTGGTGAGACATATATTAAATCAACAAATTATTAATAAAGCTGAGAAATTTTTATGAAAAAAGCTGAATTTCGAAAAACTTTTCTTCAAAGGAAAAAAAAGTATTTTCTTTAGCGAATACCCTAAAAAAAATGAGCTTTCAAACAAAAAAACTAAGCTTATCTCTTACTGTGATAGAATCAAGGGGGAAAAAGCAGATTTCAAGATTTCAAGATTCTCAAAGATTCTCAAAGATTCCCAAAGATTTCTAAAGATTCCCAAAGATTCTCAAAGATTTCTAAAGATTTCTAAAGATTCCTAAAGATTCTCAAAGATTCCCAAAGATTTCTAAAGAAGGTAATAAAAGAAAATATGCATGATCTGATAAGTATTTACTTAAAAATCAAGCCTGGTCTCATTGTACATGCTTTAGGATGTGATTTACTCAGCTCAATTGAGTGAAGACATGGTGAAAAAAATACATCGCAAGGTTTTCAAGGATTTTTGAAGATCTGCTACTATTTTCGTTAAATAAAATCTTTATGCGCTAATAAATCTTGACCTGAGAACTGAGGCGAGCTACTTTAAAATTCATTTTGCATTGTACATCATAAATATCAATTTCTCGCTTTGTTGGAAAAGCTGTAAAGAGCTCTTAAAAGTTTAATTTTTTCTTCATCATCATGTACTAAGAAGAATTTCTAAATTTGACCGTTTTTGAGAAAACCTTCAGGGCCGTTTATCGTGCTAGATATAACAGCTTTTTCTGTTTTTCTACCTCATGTCGCAGTGAATAAAAAAAATGAACCGTTTATGTTTCTTCTGTTTTAATATTTCAGAAAAGAATCATCGTTACATATATCATGATAAAACACAGTTTCAAGAATAAAAATCAAAAGATGAAAGTTAAATAAAAATCAAAGAATAATAATATGTTTACACAAAAATTTCAAGTTTCTTAAAAAATAGTTAGATCTTAGTTCTCTTAGTAACATAAGAATTATCGGCATCATTTTCTGCAAAACGCTTATTATTTCTTTTTCCCTTTTGTGATTTTGCTGTTGGTTTATTTGTTGAATCATTCAAAAGAGAAGCTACTGCTACTGTTTCTGCAAAGTGTTGTTGACTTAAAGGTTGCAAAGGTAATGAGGATAACCTTGCTGCAGTTGAAATATTTGAATGTTCATGTACGTCTTCTTGTTGTTCATCATTGATTGTCAAACTTCTAAGCTTTTTCATCAATGTGCATTTTTGATTATCTCTCAAATGACGATAATAATTGGATAAGAGAAACCTACTATTTGATCTTGAAACAATTAACTTTTCATTACACTTACATTGAATAAATACATCATTCGTACTTTGTATAATCAAATCATAATGAACACCTTCGGTCAAGATGAAATCATGATTACCAAAAATTTCAAAATTTTCAATACTCCATTTTTCAATTGCATTTATTATGATTTGTTTTGGATCATCACTAGTTGTTGTTGTAATAGGAGCAGAAAAATTATTCGTACCCGTAGAAAACGAGCTAGAATTGTTACTAGTATCCGTAGTACTTGTACCTGTTGATGGAAGATCTGCAGATATTGGTGGCAAATAAAATCTGTGTTGTTGCTGTTGTTGTTTATGTTTTAATTCTTTGGCATATTCTTCATTTTTTTTTGTAAATAATTCACGTAAATATTCAACATTTGCTTTTAAACCAGGTCGAATCATAAATGTATTATTTCGTAATTGTATAGAACATCGTTTGTGTAAGTCAATAAATTCGTCTGCATCCCAGGTTAATATTTCAAATATATCAGGTGTTAGAAGAAATGCACTGATGTTGTTAATGCCTTGAGCCTTTAACAAGTCAACAATACCTTGACTTCCAGTAACTTGAATAACAATGTCATAAAAGTTTTGATCGTGAAGAAAAAAAATATTTGCTGGTAATATTGATGTATCAACAGTAATTTTTGACATTGCTCATGAGAAAAAATAGTTTTATCTAATACAAAATTTTGTTACAACTGACAATCTATTTTCTTCTACTATAGCTATAGAGAGAATAGATATTTGAGAGATAGAAGGAGAATAGAGAAAATAGAATGAGCGTGTTTTATATGACATGATATGACATGTCAAACTAGGCACACTTGTTCTTTTTCTTTCTGTATCAACCAAAAGCACATATATGATTAGTCTTTCTGTTTCAAAACGCGAGAAGAGAAAAGACAAAAAATTCTGAAATATCCCCAAATTTTCAACCAAGTTCATATGCACTAAAGAAAAAAATAATATGGTTGATTTTCTTTCTTGTAGCTATTTTTTCTGAACATTTTTACTTTTATCAGAATCTTTAAGAATGATATATTGTGCCCAAATCTCTGAGTTCTAAATATTTTATGTATACCAGAAACGATGAAAGCCTATTCGTTTATAGGCTTAAATGCGGTAAATTCATAATTAAAATCAATTATGTTCTTCAAAATCTATGTCATTTTTTTCAATGTTTTTTAGTTTTCTTTACAAACTATGCAGAGAAATCTTTTCTCAACCATTCGGCGAAATTATTTAAAACTTAACTTTATTAACTATATGTACATTTAGATTATTAACATATCATTCTAATGATCGTTACAGTACATCGAAAATCTAATCTTTTGCATATATCTCGTTACTATTTGATGAAGGAAATAAAATGCAGAAAGTTATATTATTGATCACAGACGTTTGACTGAGAAAATTTTCTGTTTGTTACTAAACATCTTTTCATATACTATTGAAAAAAACAAGTATTTTATCTGTTGAAAATCCTCTGCTGTTATTAAGAATTTAATGCAGATGCAGAATGTGTTGTTTTTCTTGAAAAATATGATAGACAAAGATGTGACTTTATCAAGATTCGTAGGTTCTTTTGAATAGTATATTTATCACGGTGAAAAATGCGAAGAGAAATAAGAAAAAATTAAAACATGGATTTATCATAATTAAAAACGATTGATAGAGTTGTACAAAGTAAAGCAACAAATGAGATAATATATAAATCAACTATTGACGTATTTTTGTTTTTTATAAAGAAAACTTATTTTAATTTTATTTTTAGTTGAATTTCATTTTTATTATTTTTATTTGATCTACTTATAACTATGGAGAATATCTATAATGTCAAGCTGTATCAAATAAAAACATATTACGATAACAATGTAATAATCAATTTAAAAAAACCAACATTGAGAATAAAAAATGAAGATTTAAAATAAAAATAAAAAATGATTTATGTATTACATCAATATCAAGTTCTGATGATGGTTTCATTATAAACCAAAAATTTAGCTACATATACAAGTATATGATTTAATAATAAAAAACAATTTATTAAAAGTTATATATGATTTACAATTGATTGTTATATTGTTATCGTTATATGTTTTTATTTGATACAGCTTGACATTATAGATATTCTCCATAGCTATAAGTAGATCAAATAAAAATAATAAAATGAAATTCAACTAAAAATAATATTAAAATAAGTTTTCTTTATAAAAAACAAAAATACGTCAATAGTTGATTTATATATTATCTCATTTGTTGCTTTACTTTGTACAATTCTATCAATCGTTTTTCACGAAGAGAAATATCTCATTCTTTGTGTTATTTTTTATTACAAACATTTTTCTAAAGCATATAGTTAAAATTTTTTTCACCGTGAAAAAATTCATTTCTATCGTATGCACAAAATTCATGAAAGATTGCACATTTATTTTATGTCGAATAAATACCTACCCTTCATAGGCAGATACTCTAGAAGAATGTTGAAAATGAATCTTTGGAAATAAGTATTCCGATATTTTAGAGAGGACCTAGATTTATACAATCATGAAAATGATTTCTTGAATAAAAAAAATGAAACGGTTACAAATATATTTTTCTTTTCAAGCCAATAATCAGGTGGGTGTGAGGTTCTGTCCCTAGTTATCCGTCAAGTTTATTCGTCACCTAGATACGAAGTACATATGAAATATTGATGGACGTCTCTGAAAATTCATAACTACTGCACTCAGTGACGAATTTTGAAATACTGATTTCACAGATCAATGTAGAAAATATATCTCAACATGGTGGGTTAAGAAGAGTCTTAAAAATATCAGAAAAGAAGTGAAAGAGATTTTAAAAATATAGTTGGTTTAATAATGCATTTATCCCTTTGGGTTCTATATTCTATTTTATTTGATCTTTCCGAAGTCAAATTTTCCTTTTTTAATCAGTTAGTAATGATTAAAGATGATTGGCATGGAGAGTTAGATATAATACTCTGGAGAAGTGAGTCATTTAGTTTAAAAAGATCGCATGGAATTCAACTGTTTACTACATTATGGTATTTGTCAAGTTTCAAAAGCTTTCTTATACATTCAACAATTTAATATCATACATGTTATATATTTTCGCAAGAAACAGACCCTCTATACAGTGAAAGTATCGTCTTCTTCAAAGTTATAGTAAAAATAAACTTATCATTGAAAAGAAAGCTAGGTTCTATGTTGGTAAGATGATGAGCCGAGAAGAGAAAATTCGAAAAACAAGAATTATGGATTCAAAACATATCAGTTTTGCTTTTTTGATTTTGAAATCTGAGAATGACTCTGTAAGGAAGAATTTCGAAGTCCTTAACTACAATCAATTTCAACGAAAAACTCAACAATTAACAAATGAATGGCTCAGTTACAAAATGAAGATAGATCATAAAAAGTTTTCAAAATGATTTCTAAGATATTTTTTCTCAGCTTTATTTACATTATGTTTTCCTGCTTTAGGCGACGTTTGTTTACTTCATTTTTCACATTTTCCACTAACGATGTTTCTTATTTAGAAATTCTTTATTCTATAGATTTACTAAATCTCGTTTGATTTACTTTAGATATACGTTTGCTTTCACAATGCAAAGTTTAACCTTAGCTAATACTTTAGCACTGCCTTCTAATATATTTCTATTACAAAATGATAATTTTTATGCTTACGTAAAAGAAGCTGTAGGTGAAATTCTTGCATCCTACTTAAAGTTTTTAAGTATTAATTCTGTAGATTGCTTGTTGCGTATTAATGATATATTTTCATATATTTCGATTGATTCTTCAGAATTCAATGATTTAAGAAACAAGCTAGCATTTCAATTGAACAATGGAACTTTCATCGTCAGACCAGGATTCAAACACACTTTAAATAATTTTATTCAAATTCTTCGTGACAGACAGAAAAACGATAATAGCAGAAATACTGATGAACAACAGAAAGAAGAAATATTTAAAATAGTTCAAAAGAATTCACTACTTCGCTCATTAATTTCTTTCTATCAAGTTAATAATACTAATGACATTAGTGCGTCATTTTTATTTTGTCTTATTGAAAATACAATCGATAATCTTATAAGATCCAACAATCACTATCATTATGCAAAACCAGTCATTGATTTTTCTATCTCACTCTACATTTTGGGAGGAAGAGCAACCTATGAATTCGTACGAAGTAATCTTATATGTGCTTTACCAAGTATAACAACAATAAATCAGTTGATATCTACCGAATTACCATCTTTCAAAGAATCAGAGTTTCGGTAAGTGGTTTACCCATTACGTAGAACTGTTGAAATTTAAACTAACAACTTTTCTTCGATTCTTCTCTTTTCATATAATAATTGAACGTTCTAGATTTGAATCACTAAGTGAAATTTTTAATTCCCGTCAAATTACTCATGTTTTTGCATCGGAAGATTGTACAGGCGTCGTCAAGGCAGTCAAATATGATGTTCAAACAGATTCTTTCATTGGTTTTGTTAGCCCACTTCAAGAAGGAGTACCTCGTGAAACCTATTTCCAAACTGATTCATTCGCTAAATTAAAAGAGTGGTTCAACGACACCAAGAAAGCAAACTTGCTCAATGTACATATGATACAACCAATCACTCAAAATATTCAATTTGGTTCAGCTGAAATTTTAGCGGCGTATGGTGTAGCCGATTCGTATACTTCAACTGACATTCTGAAGCGTTGGTTATATATATATCATAAATTTCAACAACGAAACATTAGAATAGTTGGATTTAGTACAGGTATGTTTTGAAACGAAGCCCTATTTACATGTGCAGACGTGTCTATTCAAGAGGCCTTCGATGGGGCTTTACCAGTTACTACCTCAGTTTTTCATGAATCTGTTATCTAAGTACACCAGATGATGTTTTAAGAAAATCTCTATAGAAATTTATGCACTTTGAAATTTAGCTAAGCTGTGGAATATTAACATGTCAATTTTCTCGTGGTACTTTTAAGATTTTCGACATTGGGAGAAGAGCAGTCTGCGAAATTCAACTTAAGACTTTGAATGTATAGAAGCCTAAACTATACTAGCTGTCATAGAAAATTCAGAGCTATTGAGCAAACTGCATTCAAGATAAATAAATTTCGAAAAGTTTCCTATATTAAGTACGACCGATGGAAAAATGTCAATACGTTGAAACTTTCATATACGCAAAAAGTACGATTAAAACTTCAGGATTTTTTGAAATGAAAACCAATACAGTTAAGATGTATAAAAGCGCAGTTTCAAATGGAAGTTCGAAGGCCTGGTTTTTCCTGAAATCTGAAATTTTTCAGGACCATTGAGAAAATATTCATATTGCAAACTTGCCAGCTGAGACATATCGTAATATACATCTAAATGCTTTAAGGGCTTTACTGGAGCATCATGTGGTACTTATAGATAAGATTCATTGAAATCAAAGCAAAGACGCAAGTGAAGAGGCTTTTTCGTCGATCTTTTTTGAAAACTACTACTAGAAAATCAATCGAAAAGGTCTCCTGGCGAGACTCAATATGTAATTTCTTTTCTGTAGAACCATTTAATGAATGTTATGTGAACTATCTTGGGAAGAAAGAAACTTTGAAAAAAATGCGAATTGAAGTGTTTTGTTTTCTCGTTTCTGATTTAGAAATATATCCAATTAAACCCTTGTCTTATGCTGCTTGCAAAATTTCCGAAGAAGATTCAAAATATCTTTTCTAAAATTTTCCAGATGTTAGATCTTTACTTGCTTTAATACTCTGCCCGCATTTCTAAAAAAAACACCAGTAAATTTGAGAATTTTTCCTTTCCGTTCTAGATTGTGATGGAAAATATCTCCGATCTATGAAACTTCTATTAGGATTTTTTGCAAACCTTCCGAACATTAACTTAACTAATGATGTTAAATGCTTTCAAATTGATATACCAGATAAATGGAGTTGGTTTTTTCTACGACGAAAACAATTGTTACTCTTTTTTCAAGATGCTACTCATCTAGCCACGAAATGGCGAAATCGACTTTTATCGGATATCGCTGATCTGACTATCGGAAATAAAAAATCAAACATGTTTCATCTCGAAAACATAGTCAAGACTTATAATAGTAAATTTGATCATGCATTAGTTATGTCTGATTTAAATCCTTCTGATCGTCAAAATTACAGATCTTGTGAAAAGGTCAGTAGCGATGAAGTTTTAGCGATTTTAGAATCGAATGATGATACATATGCTACATTTCTTTATATTAAATTACTTCGTTACATAATTGATGCATTTATAAACAAAGGTACTTCGACTAAAGATCGTCTCTATTTCTCTTGGACAATAGTCTTCGTTTGTCGTCTTTGGAAAATATGGTTGAATTTAAAATTCAAATCGTCAACTCAGAAAAGTAGAGACAATTACTTCATCACAAAGCCTGCCTATTATTCAGTAGAAATCAATGCACATGTTCTTCTCTATTTAATATTATTGGTTCACGAAGGCAGCGTACCATCAGAATCATTACAAATTCCACTGTTTAGCAGTCAATCATGTGAAAGTATTTTTAGAAGTTCCAGATCCTTAACTGGAACACAATCAACAATGGTCAATTTCACTGTGAAGGGTAAATTTTCTAAGAAAGTACCATGAATAAGATAAAATAATGTAATGTACTCTGACTTTTGAAGTTTTAGTCGACGAAAACACTTGCATCGTGAGAAAAAGGCCTCTCTCATTTCTGATTGAATATTCAAAGTTCATTTTTAGGCCCGTTTATTTGGCAAAGATTAGAATCAGAAAAAAAGAACGTTCCTAATTCAATTTCATTAAATTTTGAGGTTCTCATTTATAATTTACTAAATTTATCCTTGTTTGTATCGAATGAAGTCAGATATATCTTTTCAAGATCAAGGGAAATGCTTCAACGAATTCACTCGTCAAGAAAGTTCTTATAAAGAATTCACTCTAGAAAATATCGGGAGTATTCGTTAGTGGTACTCTTACTGAAACTTGGGTACCATCTTAGTACAGTATTCCTGTACTTGTCATGCATTATTGGATGTTTCTTGAGTACATGTATGTAGGTTTTGGGCACTCTAGTGATGTATGAAAAATATTTATGAACCAATATTTCGTCCACCCTTATTGTATTGCATTTATTTTATTTAAATATAAATTTGATTGCAAAAAAATAAAGAAGTAAATAATAAATGTGTGAGAGAAAATAAATGATAGAACCAAAGCTATTATATTATCTTCACATGTGTTTGAAGCAAGTAATAGAAGTACAGGAATTCTGACTTTTAAAGAATGGTATAAAGTATTTCCCAGTAAAATAAAATTCTACTTGTTAAAAATGTCACAAATAGGACAAATTTTCTTCTTTTTGAAAATTTATTTTTGATAAGATATATAATAAACAAAGAATTGTAAAGCTGCATAATCACTTATTCCATATTATTAACAATCATTTGTATCTAACAAATCTGTTACTCTATAGTATAATTTTGATAAGAAATTTTCTTTTTTTTTCATTGATTTCACCTTTTCGTTAATATTAGAAAAAGATTAATGAAACTTTATTTTTATGATGCAAAGCAAAGAGAGCTAAAAATTTCTTCATCAAAGATAAAGACTTAATCTTCGTCTCATGAAGTCAGAGTACAATAAATGAGAAGAGAAGTCAAAAATAAAAGTATTATTAGTAACACAGATTTTAAAGTGCAAATAAATTTAATATCAATTATTACATAAAGAAGGCAAGTACTTTTTTTTTCATTAATTTTTAATAGTAATACCTAAATAACTGATGAACAAGAATAACAAAGATAAAATTATCTATCTGCACTTCTATCCAAGTGTTTTTAAGATAATAAATCGGGACCGATTTGTGACATGTGTTGTGAGTTCGTTTTAGGCCATATTATTTTTACGAATCATTTTGAAAATTTACCTTAATGAAAAATTTTTTACGTAACTTTAGAAAATTAAAATTGAATAGATCCCTATTAACACATAAATCGATATCAAAATTCACTTGCTACTTAAAAGGTTTAAAATGAAAAGTTGTTTTACTTTTTTCGATCAATTATTATTCGACTAAATCGTTTCAAATAATTTATCAGCAAAAAAATAAAGGACAAACTAAATAAGCTGCTAAAATAGTTTCTTTCGATTTTCTGCTATATCATGTCTACTTTACTAAATACATGACTTCAGTCTATTAGTGTAAATGAAAATACATGTTTTCTTGAATATTCCACCAAACAACGAGTACCAGCACTAGAGGTGTCGGCTTAGTATTAGTATTAGCATTATTTTAATGATAATAGCGAAACTGTTGAATACGACTCTAACATAAATGTATCATAAGTTGAAACGATTTGTGTATCGCTAGAACGGACTAGTATCCTTGATTAGCTTCAATATTTTTGTGTTACATTTCTAACGTCAAACTATTATAGATGCTAACAAGTTAATACAAGATATTCTATTAATCTGTAGTCGCTGCATTCCTTTTGCAATAAAATGGTAACATGAAAGTATTAAAGCTAATCAAGGATATTAACCCGTTCTACTAATACATAAACAGTTTCGATTTGTAATACCTTTATGTTAGAATCATAGTCAACAGTATCACTGTTAGCAATAATTTAAAGCTAATACTAATGCTAATGCAACACCTCTAGCCAGTACTACACTTCTTTGTTTACATCACTTTCTAGAGCTAAATTTGTACCAGAAGCCTCACATAACTATTCGTCAAAGTGTATGAAAGGTATTCGTGTATTTAAAAAATGTTGAGTGGCTTCAACTAATAGTTTAAGTGGTGATATTAGAACATCATGTTCACTTCATGAGTGTCTTTACTAGGATATTGTATACTTTTTGACATATACGGCTAGGTGGACAATTTTTCTTTATGTTCCAAGTGTTATTTTCTTCAAATTTCTCTCCTTTAGATTTCTTACATCGAGCAGAAAAATTGACAATATTACAAAATATCAAAGCTGTTCAAGATCAAACACGATATTACCAACTACAATTTCCTAGACATCACAAACATAAAAAAAACAATGAAAAAATTTTAATACTTAATCAGAGTCTTACTGTAACTGAAATTCAAGCAATAGTCTTACAAGCTTTTGAACATGCAAAAGAACTTGTATCTAAATTGGATATAAATATTTTATTAGAAGAATATAATCTATTCGAATTAAAAGCATTAAGTTTTGAAACATACAACAGTTTGAAGAAGTCAAATCGAGTAATCGACTCAGCAACATCGGACACATTCATGGACTCTGATTCAGATAATGACAATACTGATGACTTTAATAGTAATGATGATGAAGATCAATTTCAGTATGATCTTTCAATGATAAATGATGATGATGATATACCAGATAATATTCTGCAGTCAGATAGAACCGATTTTTCTGGTATGCGAGTATTTGATTCAATCGATCAAGCGCACAAAAAGTCATATTTTGAGGTTGAAATTAATGGCAAAAATAAATTTTTACATAAACAAACGGCATGTTGGTACTTAACCGAAGGAAAAGGTCATTTATCTAGTGACCGTCTGTCGCGTGTGAAACAGACAAGCAGAAAAAACTGTTAAAAGTATACTTTTGTACATTTGTATTTCTTGTAAATAGTGTTCACCTATGGTTCAGTTCCGTTTCCATGAATTGTTTTATGTAACCAAAAGTTAGACGATACATGTGAAACAAATTTTTATATAAAATTTTTCAAAATAAGAGAAAAGATGTGAGCAGTTGAAATGTATTGTTGATCAGGATACATTATCTGTATCATCTGTGGGAAGCTGGTTGTTATATAATCACACTTTTCTGTTGTCAGCTGTAGAATAGGCTCATTAACAGTGAAAAAATAATATATTTTATTTGGTTCAACGTGCATAAGCATAGCATATTGCTTAGAAAAGCAAGAGAAAGTTTTTTGGACATTAGCTACTTTATCGGAAGTTTTGAGTGATGAGTAATTTTATTACCGTCAAGATCCAACTCTTATAGAAGAGAGTTTCATTATTCTCGAACAATAGACGAGCTTGTTTATTGTTTTTATCGCTGCCCAAGCATATCCTCTAATTGTCAAAAATTTGAATGTCGTGTTAGAAAATATCAACAAAGATAACTACAACTATTAATGAATTTGAATAGATTAACAAGAATTGTAAAAAAATTATATTGCAGTATCATCGGTTTGATCACCGCAAGGATCACTGGCTTAACGAAGAACAGGCGATTCACTTTTCTTGATAACTTGGTTAGCTCACGACAGGATATATAAGTATGACACAGCAATGTTGTGTGCACTTCGATATAGTAAAACTTTTCGATTTTAGCGTTTGAAGTGATTTGGAAATTTGCATGAATCCCCGTCTTCGAATTTATCCACTAATGCTCAACGAATCTATTGCTACCTATAGAAAACTAAATAAGAAGATTTCTAAAGATCTCTAAAGATTTCCAAAGATTTCTAAAGATTCCCAAAGATTCCCAAAGATTCTCAAAGATTTCTAAAGATTCCGAAAGATTCTCAAAGATTCCGAAAGATTTCTAAAGATTCCCAAAGATTCCCAAAGATTTCTAAAGATTCCCAAAGATTTCTGAAGATTCCCAAAGATTCCCAAAGATTCTAAAAGATTTCTCGAGATTTTAGGGACTAAAATCTGCTTTTCCCCCCTTGTAATAGGCGCTATGTTTATGCATTCAAGCTATTCTTTCCATGCACTTTTAATGCGCGATTTGTTATGTTAGATGAAGTTAGAATATTGTTTATGGTTCCCCTTATTCAAAACTGCAAGTCACAACTTTGAGAGAAACAGTTATAGTATCACTTTTAGCTTCAAATATACCTTCTTTGTGTGGTCCTGCCAATAAAATTAATATAAATCCGGAGTTACAGATGTTAACATCATTGTACGAGTAATTATGCGCATGATCTTATAATATTTTAGAATTGCAGAACTATTGGAAAGAATATGATCTCTTCTTCTAAAATAGAATGAATCAAAATGAGTAAATATAATGGTTGACTTTATGCAGACATTATCAATAGGCATTTCACATTTAGACATTCTAATAGTGAATGGAAGACTTTGGATTAATTGTATCACTCTTTTCTAAAACCTTTAACAAGAACTTACAGGGAAAAGTATCATGAATTTGAATTTTTGTTTCAATCAAATGTGTAAAGTCGTCTACATTGGATTTGAAAATTTAAAATATTCTATACGGAAAAACTTGAAAACAAGAAAATCAAGCATTAACATATAAGACTGAATAAACTGGTAATTACACACTCTTCACCAATCATTATTTCTCTTGGGTTCTATTTCATCTTCTTAATGCTTCATCCTCCCTCTACTTCGCTAATCGAACACAACATATACACTTTCTTCTACTCTTAATATAACTCTGTTCTTCTTCATTTACTAATTATATTATATGCTCAGCGTATACAAAGGGAATAAATGGAATGCAATAAAGTAGTATATTTGGAATTTAATTTGATTTGTTGTTACATTAATATCAAAACTATTGCGGTTATGTTTTCAAGATGAGTAGTAGTTCGATATTAAAGCTGTAGATCAATGGAACGTGAAAATAAAATACCAAAGGTGGATTTCTCGTGGACTTTCATCAACAAATGCATATCACACACTAGTGCTTAATAGTTGCCTAAAGCAGGATTATGAGAATCGAGTTCATATTTGCAGATTAGTTTTAGTAGCGACAGCACCTAAAGATTTAACGATAAGTGAATTCTGTTGATGACCATCGACCATCGAGGATTTAATAATATAAATAGGCGTACAGCTTTTCTAATTGAATTAGTTCTATCAACTGGATGAATTAATTTATTTTTATTTAAATATTAGAAAATTGGTAGTCTCGTACAATTTAAGATCATTCCAAACAAATGCCGTTAAAAAACATTCTTCATCAAATTTTCTTTTTTCTTTCGGTATGCCACCAAGCGATAAGTAGAATTGATGTGTTTGCTTCTTATCAACTGACCAAACAATGAAATTCTTTGGCTGAAACGATACAAGAATATCATTCCAGACAATTTTCCATAATTCATAACCAATACCACGATGTTGATATTGTTTACAAAGAAATATATTATGTATTTCGCAATCATACGTTTCATGATCAACTATTTTATGAAGTTCAATTGCTTGTCCACCACGGCACCAACCAACTAAATTACCATCATCAATTTCAGCTACATAAAATATGAACTGTGAGTTATTATTAAATTTGACTGACCAATGTTCTAATCGCTGTTCCACCTCATCATCAATAGTTGGAGTTTCCAAAGCTTCGTCCATTATTTGTAACATCTTCGGCAGATCACCTAAAACAGCCTTTCGAATGATAATCTTTTCTAATTGTACCATCGCAATTATTAGTTATATGTGTTGAGACATGCACAATATTTATCTGGAAAAATGATTTGTATATGTGTCATTTTACATGCATTCTCTGTCCACGTAATCAAATGCGTGTCATATCAATATCGTTGACGTCATATTATCAAAGAGAAACTATGCACACCTTTGATATCGGCATTGTTTGAGTGAAGAACAGCTTGCTTTTTAACTCTTGTTTAAGTTTCGATTTCAGGAGATAAGAAAAATTTGTGCCCATTTCCGATGTAATTCAATTTAAGATGTACTTTAATTATTCCTTATACTTGATATACTTATTTTCTCAAAAATAAATTGCAGTGAAATTTTTCTAATATATTAGAATTCTCAAGTTTGTATTCAATAATATTGTCGTATTGATATGTTCACATCGATATTTGTAGAATACGAAATAGCCATGAAAATTGTTCTTGTCGACAATAGGTACCTTACGTTGCAAAAGCAACAAAAGTTAACTTATCATGAAGAGAAGTATCTATAAACAATAAAATTCATTGTTCGATAAAAATATGCGTTTAATATAACGATGGAATCATGTAGTTTTCACGAGGATAAAAATAATGTTAATATTTTGTTCATATTGATCATTTCAGCAATATGTTTTGCATTTTCATCAGTTGATGGTAGACATTGCTTTAAAAATCATGAAATTGAAGTGAAATTAAACTTGAACCAAGTCACATCAATCGGTACTTTGATTTTAGCAAAAGTCTTAGATTACAATAGCACATTAAATAGACTATGT